CCGACTGTCAGCTTCATCCAGACATTTCCTCTCAGCTGATTGGCTACCTCTTCTACTTCATCAATGCGTCACTCATCAACTCACTGATGGAGAGAGGTACAGAAAAACAGACAAAAAGCTCTGACTGACTGTAAATGATGGGAGCTGCTGGTTCTCCTGCACCAAATCCCATATAGAAACTAATGATTTTACACAACAGCATGTGTGTTTGGGTCGATCGTCTTCTGCCTTCATCAGTCAGTTCATAGTGTTACTGTGTAAGTCCTGCAAGTGAAAACCTATCAGTTGAAGACATCAGATCAGACGCCTCCACCACAGAACGCAGCAGAAGACCAGAAGCTTCTGTGTGTGGGCCAGCTGAAATCAGCAGGTTTTTCTATGGGCTTTGGTGGCAGACATTAGGGTATTATTTTGACAAGTTCAGTTTTCAGACTCCAGTCACACTCACGGTTCATCGGCTGCTCTGTTAGTTTGGCTTTTCTGACCTCTAGTGGCCAAAAGGAGACATTACCTGAATCTGATCTGATACTTTAGCAAAACACATCTGATTGTACTCTTTAATGTAATACTACTACTACTTATAATAATAACAATAATGTTCTCAATCAATGTAATGATTATTTAAACTGACCAGAGGTGTGAATGCTAGTGTGAATGGTCATCATACCAGGCACTCAGCTGATGACCTATGGGAATGGGAGTAGCTCACCGCGCTTCCGCTGCCCTGAATGAATAAAAATAATTATTATAATAATCATTATAATGTTATTGTTGTCATTATCATAATGCTAACTATAGGTAAGAGCTACTGCTAACTATACATGATATATATACCATTTCAGCGCTGTTGTATTTCCATGTGCCCCAGGATCAGAACCAGGTTTCTACCAGTGGTCCCGAGGGGTACGGATGCGGGCTGGACTGGACCTGATCCTGGACTGGGCCCATGCAGCAGGACAGGGAGAAACCGCTTTGGAGCAAATGCACACACTTTCATCAGCGGTCAATCTGTTAGCCACACCACGGAAGAATTTACTCAAGGTATAAATACACACTCAGACATGTCTTAACCCATTAATGAGGACACACATACACACACACATTTATGTTATGGTGTATCATGGTTTGTTTATACGTATACATGTGTCATATACAGTATGTAAAATATTAACTGAGTAAATAGTTTTAAATGTTTTTATAATTTCTACATAAATTCCAGGTGAATGTTGTTCCGATCCATTGTTGCTGTGTCAGTAGTTAAACAGGGTGGTCAGTAAACCGGAGGGTCAGGGGTCAATCTAACACATTTGTGTTTAGAAACCAATCAAACTGATGATAACTCCCACTGACCTTCATCATGACCCGGGTGTTTCTGACTGTAGACTCCCTGGAAGTCCCTGCGGTCCCTGCACCCGGCTCTGAGTCCAGCCCAGCTGAACCACCTGCTGACCCTCTACAGCCCAGCGTCTCCCTGCAGACACACATGGACTCCATCAGTACAGGACGAGGCAGCCGCAAAGAGAACGGGTGAGAGACCCCTAACATCTTACCATCACCTTTGACCCTAGGGAGACGATGATTGACAGAAGCATCTGCTACAGCTTGTCCTTTAAACCCACACTTCTTCTGCCCTCACCTTCTCAGCTGACATCCTGGAAAGTTTTGATACCCACCATCCTCTGGTGTTGCCCGCCGGGGGTTACCAGTTTCAGCTGAGGAGAGCGGTAACAGATTCAGCTCTAAGAGAAGAGCTGGACAAGCTTCAAGAATTTATTTCATCAATCCACAAAACACCGTCTGCTGCCGAGGAGCCGCAGGAACCAGACTGTCATGGAGGCAAATTCTGTTTGGAACCATTTACAGAACCCAAGCCCAGCAACCAGAACCTGGGTTCACCTTCTCCTACATCTGCTGCTGTACCCCCATCGCCTCCCTCGCCCCACTCCCCTCCATCCACCCACCCCCTACATGGCTTCACTTCCTGTGGCGCCTTCCTTTTGTCTCAGAAGCTCAGACATCTGGAGCTGCAGATCAGAGACACGATGAGCGGCGAAGAGATGAGGAGGAAGTCGGCGCTGGACGCCTCCTGTCTGCTCACTCCACCCAACACTCCACACAATGTGGACGCAGCAGAAGTGGTGAAGAAGGGACGGGACAAACACGTGAAGGCTGAGAGTGAGACACTTCCATGGACATCAGAAGTGGAAGACGAAGGTCATTCAGACAGCTTTACCTGTCAATCAACAAAATATGATTTAAGTTATAATCATTTCCACCTTAAACAACCTTTATATCCACAAACGGAGAGTTTTATTACAGTACTTTATTTGAGTGTCAGCGCTGAACTGACGACTTTTCAATCAGTGGCCTAACGATGACTCCATGTCAATTAAGAAAAGGCCATGCTACAAGCTAACAGCACTGTTATTAGCTGAACTAAGATAAACATTAGACCACTATAAATCCACTTTAGTGGAATTTCCACCTAACAGGAGCAGCAAATTGACAACAACCAGATGGCAGATCATTTAAAAAAAATCAAAGAAGAAAATATAGTAGAAAAAATCTTAACTGTATTGGAAGGAAATGGAATACAAATATTTGCTGTAAAAACTCTGAACTACTCCTTTACTACAGTTTTTGACAGATAATTTGATTAACACCCCCGCCCCCCACCCCTTTTTTTCAGGAGGATTAGTGTTTGAATGTCTTTCTGCACTGAAGGCCGACCGTCCTAAACCAGAGAGTCCCAGTATGAACAGAATACTGGAAATAAAAGAGGAGGAGGAGCAGGAGGAGGAGCAGGAGGAGGAGCAGCAGCAGGAGCTGCAGCAGGAGAACCATGATGATGACAACAGTGAGGAGGTGTTTAGTTTGGAACTGGAGCGAGGAGAAAAAGGACTGGGCCTCTCTCTGGTGGACACCAGGGTGAGTGAGCGAGTGATGAGGTTGAAAAAACATAGTTAATAATTCTAACCAAACACGGAGGTGACTGTGCTGTTCCTCCAGGAGTCAGGAACACAGAAAGTTACAGTAACAATCACTATTCAGTTATGACTTGGAACCCAGTTAATCCAGAGACAGAGATACCTAAAAAAACCTGAATACAGTATTGCGATATTTCAGTCTATGGATATTTTCTTAGACCACTAACTGTGACCTTGAACTCCTAGGACACTTCCTTTAGAGTCAAAGGCATCTTTGTCCACTCGGTGGTGCCTGGTTCACCTGCAGCACGCTGTAAGAAGCTGGTACCAGGAGACAGGATCCTGGCTGTGAATGGACTCAGTCTGCTGAGTCTGGACTTCAACAGGTAAAGACCAGGAGCAGACAGGAGGCAGTGCCTCCTACTATTTCTATTATTCCGAATAATCTACGTCTCATACTGTTGTGTCTCCATCAGTGGGAAAAAGCTGATCCAATCATCGGGCGACAGACTGAGACTCCTGGTGGCCAGGTGTGACTGGATGGCCAAGGCCTTACAGACAGGATGCTGACTTGTTGTTAAGGACTATGAAAGGACCACATGTGGACTCAGAGTTGATCTTAGAGACATCTGAAATGTTCAGGCTGAGAGAGAAATTAACAAAGAAATGCACTATTTTAATGACCTACAAGCTGGAACCAGGTTGCAAACCCACGTGTTGTTTGGTGTAGGAATATCGGCAACAGAACGTAGTGTCAAGTAGGATTTTGACATCAGAGACAATTTCTGTGACCATCTGTAAAACAAATGATATTCTGAGACTCAGCCTTTCAACAGCTCTCCCAACCGCCAACCCAAAATATACCTCTTTAGAAACAAAGTATGTCTATGTTGCAGTAAAAGACTAGCTAGCTTGAAAAGAAAAGACAAAATCCTCTATAAAATATAGTCTTCCGACTTTTACAAATATTCATCTGTTCACAAACTGTAATAGTCCAGAAAGAATAAACAGGAAATTGTGTAAATGCTGATAGAAATCTTGCAGCTTTGACAAAAAAAATCTGTGGGTTACGCTTTTGGGGTGAGTCAGGAACCAGAACTGTGCTGTTAGTTCGGTGTAGAACGTCTGAAAATCTGAAAATAATGATAAACCAAACATTTTTCATATTCAAGTGCTTTGAATCACGCCACCTGCTGGCGAAAACGTTATTTTAACCTCCTCGTTTAATTCAGCCAAGACATTTCCTACTGTAAACGTATCTCCACAGAATTCTTGCGAATTCTCCTTTGAGTTGCTAATCTACCTAGCTCGTTGTCAGTATTTTGAATTCCCTTGGCGTTAATTTGTGTTTTTCCTTCATCTCCAGCCTTAAACTGCCTTTTCTTCTACTATTAAGTATTTTAGTCCAAATTGTTTTTTTATTCTACTTTGTAAAAAAAGTAATGAATTGAAACAAATATGTGCACTTTTTCAAGACTAACGCTACATGGCCAGCCTAAAAACAAATGACTTAAATGATGTTTAATTCAGTTCTCCTTGATGTTTTTCTATCCTGTTCCTGTTTGACCTTATTGTTGGTTTCTTAACCAATTATTACCATTTAATAAATGAGCATTTTTTTCTATTGGTTGTGGTGAATTCTACATTCATTCACATATAAAGGTGGATCACAAAGTTCTCAGACATGTCAATGTGACATGTCGCTCGAGCGTCTCCAACACATTTGAAGATGTAACCAAAGGTTAATTTTGTGTAAACTTCCTGTTTTCAGCAGACTACGTGGCCAACCCTGCTCTTTTCTGTTGTGATGTAGAAATAGGACCCAGGGCTGTTTTCTGAAGAACCTAATAAGCCTGACTCCTGTTACTTTGGTCATTTACCTCAAAGTTATCCCAGCTAACATTATGAATATTCAGAAACACGTCACTTCACAGAGGCTGACTGTGCAGTTCTTTGTGTGGATGCAGGAAACAGTTACCTTGACCCTGTAGCACTAGGTCCCCTTAAAATCCTTGACACAGTCCTGAACGGTTTACAAGAGAAGGTGGGGTTTGACAAGCAAATATCTGCCTGGGAGTGATCACG